AGCAGCAAAGTGTTTCAGAGTAATTAATATAAGCAGCAAGACAACTGTTTTTTAGCAGCAGAGTGTTTCAGAGTAATTAAGGAGTAATTAATATAAGCAGCAAGACAACTGTTTTTTAGCAGCAGAGTGTTTCAGAGTAATTAATATAAGCAGCAATACAACTGATTTTTAGCAGAAGAGTGTTTCAGAGTAATTAAGGAGTAATTAATATAAGCAGCAAGACAACTGTTTTTTAGCAGCAGAGTGTTTCAGAGTAATTAAGGAGTAATTAATATAAGCAGCAATACAACTGATTTTTAGCAGCAGAGTGTTTCAGAATTGGCTATAGCAACAGTGGAAGTAATACGACGCTAAGGTATACTTCGTTTCAGACTGTTTATAGTGTAATATAGTTCTCGAAGGGATACCTGATACAGGTGCTGTTTTATAGCTTACATTTTAATGTGATAAAAGAAATACAATGCGGCACCCAGTATATGTAATTCTAAAATCGAAGTTTGAAGTAAATGGATTGTTCCCGAGTGACCATTATTCGTCACAAATATTGATAAAAGTGTTTACTGGAGTTCCCCTCAAGCAGAAAGGACAGCTTAACTTGCAAACAATGAGACATGCCTGTAAAACATATATATATCAATATATTTCCAAATACGTCTTTTTTTATGACATTCCACACTTCCTCCTGTTTAAGCAGATACTCTTCCCAGATGACTTACCCCAGGCTTCTAGTTGAGAGGAACAGGATCCAGATCGTGTTGGTCGATTAAGCTCTCGTCTCTTCCAAAATTCTTCACGTTCTGCCATCTAATAAAGAAATATTATACTTTTATAAAGTATAATCCTATTATAAAAACGTTCTGTGAAGTTATTTTGCTTTTTTATTTTTTTTATATATTTGAATATTTGTTCTCAGTTCACACACCTTTTGTTAACAGATGCTAAAAACACATAAACAATTTAGCATATGTACGCATATAAATATTTAAGTTTAAACAGTTTCAGTCAATTTTATTCTTCACCAACTATTGGAAAAAAAGAATTAACGAAAGCTTGAGAGATATGTGTTAGAGCTACATTAGCAAGAAATTACGACTTTATGAAAAATTAATACATGTCCAGACAAGTCCTCAGAAGAACGAAAGAGTCGATACAATGTATACCAGCAATGGTTATTTCACGTAAAGCGCTTTTCAAGTTGAAAAGGTAAATGATTAAAAAGAGCACAGAAGAAAACAGTAAAATGCTCGAACACCGAACTATGATATTGTGATTAATGAAACAGGTGTGTATATATATTTACACGTGTAAAACAAAAGAGAAAAGCTGGAAAGGAGCTTGCTTCTTCCTGCCATTTCCTATTTGACTGAAACAGCAGCGCGTTTGCATACTTTATATAGGTTGTTTCTAAAATCTCAATACTTAAAGAGTGAGCTTTTTTGTTCTTTTCCGAGATTTCCAACACTTGTGGAAAATTCAGAGAAGATATGAATACATGTGTGTAACTACACGAATTCTGTGGTTATTTTATACTAAACTTTTGAAGTTAAGCACAAAGCAACGCAATGGGTTATCTGCGCTCTACCTACTACGTTGTAAGTCCGCAAAAACACCGCTGTGCCACTGGAAGGATTTAGGCTAATTTTATTTATATAATGTTAATTATATATATATATATATATATATATACAGTTAGGACTCATTCTTCCGCAATCTAACCCTCTTTCTATAGGTATTCTCACAGCAGTCTCAAAATATCGGTTAATTTAACTTTTATGTATTTTTAATTTCGAGCTAAACAATATAATGAAAGTTCTATAAATGTATATTTAATTTTGGTATAGTTTGTATTTACGTAAATCTTATCAATCCTAAACACACGGCGTAACACATGAATTATTGTGGTTATTTTAAATGTGGATCACCGAAACGTATTAACCGATACGTTTGACGTGCAGGCATTAGGTTTATTTATAGTTTGTTTCAAAATAATATTCAATTTTTTTTGTAACCATGGTTTATCTAATCGATCTGCCATATTAGACAAGGCAACTTGGTTGAATTATATTGTACAAGACTCTTAAGTAATTTCCAACGGTGCTCAAGAA